TGCTTCATACAGGTCCTCACAGCCCATGAACCCCTGGTGGCATTCCCCTAAGGAGCCTTCATCTGATTAGGGTCAGAAGGAGATGAATCCAGGGGTCCCTAGTTTTCACTTTATTTTAGTCCCTCTAACTGTGTTACCTTGGACAACTCACTTGGAAAATGAGGGAAAACAAGACCAATCATAGGAAGTCTAGGATGCTCTGTGTCCTCCCAACCTCTCTGCTCCTATTTTTTTTTTTTAATCACCCAATTGACTTCTCAGGAAAGAAAGATTACAGGTATCACGTGGACTCTCATTTCTCAAAGTCAGAAATACACTAAATCCAGGCAGATGAGCCTGCCCCTTGGAGAGAGGGCTCCCTTTCACACCTCCCTAGACTAGGCTTTGCACACAGCCAAAGAGCAACACTGTAACCATCTCCTACCAGCCCTAATGTGACTTTGCTGCAGGCAACTGCCCAAGGATTCCTTCATCACAATCTTTCTATGAATCATTCAGAGTAAGTCCCCACTCTGCATCAGGGGAAATAGAAACATGTTATTAAAGAGAAATGAAAATCTGTGGTGCATCTGAAAATAGCATCCAGATATGTTGACTTCCCAGTTCACCCTTCTGTTCTATGCAGCTCTTCCTTGACTTGCTGCATCCAAAAGAGGCAGAATAGGACTGCCAACTCTCAGACATCCTGGATAAGTTACCAAATTATCTACAGATGCAGTGGGGTGGTCCGAAGGATCAGGGTTCCCAGTTCTGAACCATTCTGATGGACCAGACCTAACTATTTCCCTACTGCAGGTGCCCCTGCAGTCACATGCTTTGGTCAAATGATCTGCAGCTTCAGGCTGCTCCCTCTGCAGAGAAGAATAGGGGGAAAACAGAGTTTTAAAAAATAAAATAATGAAAAAGTACAACCCTCTCCTGGAACCTCACAACCTCCCAACTTATAAAATACTAGTGCTAGGTCATCTTCCCCAGCACAGCCTCTGAGGTCAGCTCCCCCCTTCCCCTACTCTGTCCACCTGGGAGAAATAATGCTGGCCAAGGGGACCTGCTAGGGTCTGGACCTGGATCAGAAATGCAGATGGATTACAAACTAGACAGAGAAAGAGACTGATTCAAAAAGTTGAGTCTTTGTCTTCTAAATAGGGAGGCCCACCAATTGCTGAGTCTTCAGCAGACGCTCAGCTTCCTCTGCCTCTAACAAACTTTGTGACTCATGGTCTGTTCAGAGAGAGAGAGAGAGAGAGAGAGAGAGAGAGAGAGAGGGGCAGCTGAGCAGCCTTCATGATGATAGGTTAAATTGGGAACGTGCTCTTCTGGAACACTCACCCCTCAGGTGCAGACTGAGCCCCTACCCTGCAGTGGGAGTGGGAGGTGATCACAGCTCCAATTCTTTTGCTGGCTTTAGAATAACCACCAGATACCTGGGTTTTGATGAACTATATCTGTGGGGATCAACCAACACACACACACACACACACACACACACACACACACCCGCTCTTGGAGGCTTTGTAATGCAGCCCAATCCTAGACTGGTCCTGATCTTCAATGCTCCACTCACCAGAGCTGCAATGTGGGACCCAAAGCACTCTCTTTCTTCACCTACACTGCCTGCAAAACCAGAAGAATTCCTGGCAAATTATCAAGCAGAGCAATGCACAGCGAGGGTCTGCGGAACTGTTGCACATCAGTGGAGGCGATAACTGTGGAAGGGGATGAGAGGTCAGGGCTGAGCTGCTCCCTCTCATCAGCTTCTACTCCCTTCATCCTTACGGAGGGCCAATCTGGAAGTTAGGGAGACTGGATCCCAGAGGCAGGCAAAGGCCAAGTCCATCCAGGGCCGAGAGATGAGGCTCCCAGCTCTGGCTCACTCCCGGGCCGCTGAGCTTCGGGCGCCGCCTTCCACATCCTCCAAGCGGGCAGAAAGCCAGCAGCAAGGATCTCCTTCCATTCTGGACCAAATTCCCGCATAAAACTCCCAAGCACAAACCGCTTTTGTTAATTCTGCAAATGCTGTCACACGACCACCTCCACCAACCCACCCTGTCTGCGCGGCTCCAGAAGAGACTCGCTTTCCCCAGATCCCCACCGCTAGAGACCACCGGCTTCCCCTGCCCCCGATGGATCACCTCCCACCGCCCCGGCGCCTGCACACGCCGGGCCCAAAGGACTTCCCAGGACCCCAGAGTCTCCTGACCCAAAGCATCTTTGTCCTCTCCGCACAGACACCCGCGCACAGAACAGCCGATGCAGCCCAGCCAGGCACCGAGTCGGCGTTGTCGCCTTAGGTCTGGGCCACGCAGGGGACAAAGGTTCGCGTCCTGGAAGTTTGCGGAGTCGACCCCCGCGGCCCCGAGCCCAGGCGCGGAGCCCTCCTTACCGTACATCTCCGCGGGGCGCGCGCCTCCCCGGAGGCCGGCGTCGCCGCGTCGCTTGCAGCCAGCCCCTGGTGGCGCCTGCCTTTCATTCACAGCCCGTGCGGGGGCTGGCGGCGGCCGGCCGAGGCCCGGGCGGGGCGGGATCGGGCGCGGGGGCCGGCGGCGGGCGGGACGGAGCCGGGCGCCACCAGCCCATTCAGTACCGAGGCTGGCCGCAGCCGCCTCCCGCTCGGGTCTCTGGGCGAGGCGGAGCACAGGGGGCGGAGGCTGTGCCACTTGCCACGCCCCCCTCCGGGCTCAGCCACTGGCCAGCCGCCCCGCCCCGCCCCGCCCCACCCCGCCTCGCTCCTGCGAGAAACCCGAAGCCCGAGGTGCGCCTCTTCCCCGGCGGTCGCTCGCGGCCCTGGGTGGCGTTTCACCAGGCCGCAGCGCTGAGTGGGGCGTCACCCGCTCCAGCTCCCAGCGTCTGTCTGCCTACTGCTGATTCCCAAGGCCCGGAGGGCAGCCGGGCGCTAGCAGATGTAGGTGTACCCCGCCCCCAGCTTTGTCCCGGCTGCGTAGACTGAGCCAGGGACGGCGAAGTGGCGACTTGGGAAATGACCATCCGCCCTGCTTTGGCTCCAGTAGCTAAACCCATCCTCTAAGGAAACCCTCAACGGTGGCCCTGCGGGACACACTCTGACTGCTGTTTACTGCCAAAGAGCGTCCTTCCTGCGCCAGGTACGCAGGAAACGCGTCCCACTCCAATCCCCAAGTGCTGCAGAAGTCTGCTCGCTTTTCCTCACCCAGATTTATACGTGTAATTTGCAAGCTTTGTCTGCAGGATCCTGTGACCCAGGGCCCACTTGAATCTCATCTCTCTACCTGATTTGACCCTGTGAGAAACAGACAGAGGCAGAAATCTCAGGCTAGTGCCTCGCATCTTGGAGAGCTCTCCTAGTCTAGGTCGAACTTTCCATTTTACATATTTTTTCTTTCTTTATTTATTTTTATTTTTATTTTTTTACTGGGTACTAGGGATTGAACCCAGGGTTGCTTAACCACCGAACCATATCCCCAATATTCCCAGCCGTTTTTATTTTATTTTTATTTTGAAGCAGGTCCTTGCAAATTTCTGAGGTTGGCATCGAACTTGTGATCCTCCTGCCTCAGCCTCCCAAGTCGCTGGAATTATAGGCGTGCACCATGTTTCCCTGACCTTTCCATATCTGTTTCTTACTTTCTCCTCTTGCCCCATGGTTGAGGTTTTATGTTATTTTCCCCCTATTAATAGAAATATCCTACTAGTAGAAGTTAGAAAGGGAAGGACCTTAAAGATATTTTACTTAACCTTGAGAGATTAATTTGCATTCTGATTCCCAGATGCACCTGACTGTGTCAGTAGTCAGTTATTTACTCTCTCTAAATCTTAGTTTCCTGCAGGACTACGGGAAAATTTGATTGAACCCTACATGAAAGTACACAGTGGGCCCTCACGTATTTATTTTCTTTTATTCCTTCCTGTGCCAAGGCAGGGACAGAATCAGAGATCCTCCATGTTGCCAATCCTTGAAACAGTGCTCTCTCCCTTGTTTCCCAAACCCAAGTTTCCTATTTCTCTCTGACCTCATCCTCCAGTGCCTCCCCATACACATTCCTTTCCTGTTTTCAAGTTTTACTCCCTTTTCCTTACCTTTCTGTCTCTTAGCAGCATACAAACCCCAGAGAACCCCTAGAAGTCCCAGGAGGGTTCCTGGAGCTCACAGTTAGCCTAGATCCTCCAGTGACTCACAGAGAAGCCCTGTCTCTGCTCTCCAGCTCTAGGACCAAGCTAGGTGGCTTTGAGGTCTGCTGAGAGTCGACTTGAACTAGGGCAGGAGGGATAGCCTAGGTCTAGCTCTACTTGGACACCCGGACATCCTCCCTCCCTCTCTTCTTCTATTCAACACAGAGTGTAGCACTGGTGTCCACAGCATAGAAGGAGGTGCAGGAGTTAAGTGTCAAAAAGTGGGGACACCAGAGGCATACTGATGGAAACTTTACATGACAAGGGAGAATATGGTTGATTCTGGTGAGAGGCACAGATCTCTGTTTAGATATTCAGAGACACAATAGGTTAATTCATTGTTTTCTATCAGGTATGTATTGATCATTCCATATTATGTGGAAGGTGCTTAGGAGATGCGAGACACACAAAAATTATAATAAAATCTTATGACTGTGGAGGCACACATAAGGAATAAAGGAGAGTCACCTGGAGGAAAACCACTCCAGATGGGCTCTGAAGAACAGGCAGTATTTCTAAATGTGGAGATAATGTAAATAATACCAGCCAGGGGGACTGATATTTGCAAAGGTCAGTGATAGCTGGTAGAGCATATGTGAAGTGTGGCACGCAGCCCCGTCTGGCTGATGCAGTTGAGGAAGGGAACAGAAGTAGACGTGAAGCCTGAAGGGGGGTCTGGGGCTTGTTGGGAGGACCTCAAGTGCCTGACCTGGAGGCCTTTGTGTCAACGCTAGAGATGCCAGTTGAGCAAATAAAAATACAAGATGTCCAAGGAAATTTGAATTTCAAATAAATAAGAAATAATTTGTAATGTATGCTGTATACCATATTTGGGACATACTTATGCTAAAATTTTTTGTTGTTTTCTGCAGCTGAAATTTAACCTGTTTTGTCTGGCAACTTTATTTAGTGCCATGCTTTAGAGGTGTTCTTAGAAGCCCCAGTACTCAACCAGGCCTGAAGTCAGCCACTGTCTCCATCTGTATTCCCAAATAAATCCCACAGGCATGAGCTTCCTAAGGGGACAGGAATGGGGCCACTAGGGTCAGCCTGCACTCTTAGGCACAGGCACATTGGCCAGAAGGCCAAGGCCCTGTGTGTGACACTGGGAGTCCCTCCAGGAAGAAGGTTCTGCAAGCACCATCATACCTTCAAGAAACATGAGAAGGGCTGGTATTGTGGCTCAGTGGTAGAGCACTTGTGTAGCATGCATGAGGCAGTGGGTTCCATCCCCAGCACCACGTAAAAAAAAAAAAAAAAACTAAATAAAAGTGCTGTGAACATCTGCAACTAAAAATAACAAAAACAAATGAGAAGAGGCTTCTAGTCCCTGCTCTTCCCCAGGCCCTCTGGGCTCTGTATATTCAGTGGTGAAGGAATCTGGCCCATGCCCAGCTTCTCAGAGGCATAGCAGAGATGTTCAGATAAAATGTGCACAGGAAATGGCACGGCAAAAGACTATGGTCGTGATGTCACATACGCGGAAACAAACCTGGAGGGAAGAGTCACCTGCTTGCAACCAAAGAGCAGAATTTTGAGAGCTCAGCTTCCAGAGGAATGTGCCCGTCCATGAAGATAGATGGAGCAGGAATTTGCTGTCTAGGTGAAGTATGGAAAGGAGGGGAGTCAGAACCGGGATTCCTGTCTTAAATAAGTTCTTACTTTCTCTGCAGAAATCCAAAATAAGGAGAGACAAGAAAGAAAGCGAAAAGGAAATCGCATCTATGAGAGGCCCCCGTGGCTCGGTGCCAGGCACTTCCTGCAGGTCTCTGTCCACATTGTTTGTGTCTTGCTCAAGCTTATGATGGCATCAGGTGAGACACTGTCAGTATCAGCGGTACTTGGAATTTGGAGTTTTGTGATCTTTTCTCTGCCTGGCAACACGTGGTAATGTCCTCTCTCAATGCTGGGCAGTGGCAGGGGGCGGTAGCTTCCCAGTCAACCATGTAGTCTCCAGGAAAAACAGTGGTCATCTACAGCGTGCCATGTGGCTAAGTTATGATATGGGTTAGGGACATTAAATGCATTTTTTACTTACCCTGTCCTTGCCTGCCCTCACCGGTGCCTGTGTTTGTTCCTCTGTGTTCACTCCTATCCCCATCACCTGGGTTTGGAGGGAAGGGAGTGGGGAGGAACTCAAGCTCTCTAGACTAAACCAGGTCCTCTAATTTGTACCCTCTTCCCAGGTCTCATCAGTGGTGGCCCCTGTGGCATTGGCTAGAGCCCAGGGTCCTCCTGGGACTGGTTTGACCAGGCCAGAGGAACTAACCCTTAGAAAGGGTTATTATTCTCAGGCCAAAGTGAACCCTGGTCAATGTGTTCAGCCTGAAAGATGACCTTTGCAGTGACACTTCAGATGATCCCCTGTGCCACAGGCAAGCACTGTGGGAAGGTCCAAAGTTTCTATATGGACCAGAGGTTTCTGTGTTCCAGAGAAGAAAGGCTTAGATGTAGGGGGCAAGTGACAACCATCACTAAAGCCCAGGAACCCTAACTTGCCTCCAGGCATCAATATTCACATCACATCACCAGGCTTCCTGGCTTCCTGGCGCCCAGTGTCACACAGCCCTGTCACTCACTGTGACCGCCTGAAAGCCTCTAATCTCCTCATCAGCTGCAGCCACTGCAGCGGCTCTTGCTCAAGGCACCTGCTTTGAACAGTCAAACTCTTTATAGCACCTTGTGGAGAGAGAGAAGAGGGAAGAAGATGACAGCCCCAGGGGACACAGCTTCAGGAAGAAAATCACAGGACCTAGTAAAGGGCCCAGGGAGACCCAGAGAGGAGAGTGAGCCTGTAAAGGATGGTCAAGCAGCTGTTAGCTGCCAAGTCAGAAATAGAATTCAGGAGTCTCGACTCCAGGCTGGCTGCCTTGAACTCTGGCTCTTCTCCCTTAAAGCAGGTTCATTACCTTGACCTACTTCTCAAGGCCACAGGGAAAGAACAGCCTGCGAAAACAATGCACAGGTATCTAAAGTGGGAGGGTCTCCGCGAGCTGAGCCTTGTCTCCACCTCCAAGCTTGGCTGCCAGGTCTGCGGGGTATGCTCTTGTCACCAAGCCAGTGGCTTTAGGGCTTTAGGCTGCAGGAGGGACACAGTAGGCAGAGCTGCCTGCTGCCAGGACAGCAGGCAAGTGTCCGGATCAGGAAGGCTGCTGCAGGCCAGATTTTACAATCAGAGTTGACTGGTTTGAGAGGAGCTTGAGATATTGACTGCTGACACATTGAGGTTTAAAAACGCCAAGAAAGCTCTGCCAGCCACCATTACTGCCTTGGGCTCCCCTGTGTTCCACTTCTGGGGCAACGCCAGGTCACCTTCTCCAGCTGAGATCCCTGGAGGCTCCTTTCCCACACGAAACTCAAATCCACGTCTACCTGCTTCTGGTAAAAAGTGTAGGCATTGCCATGCCCACTGCCCAGCCTCAGGCTAGACCTGGCCAATGCCATCTTCTCATCTCCTCTTGCTGCCAGCCATCAGAAGCACCTGTTCCCCTCTCTCCAGCCTGTGTGATAACTGCTCCCACTGCGAGATCTAAGCCTACCCACACTCAGAGGGACTAAAAGGTGCACAGTGTCCTTTTCAGCTCATCTCTGATAGCCCTGGCTTGGAAGAGAAAAGGAGCCATGGAGAAGTGAGTAGCTACTCAGATAGGGGATCTCAGGCCATGGCTGAGGGGGCCTGCAATTCACCACAGTCAGAGGGGTGGCCTGGTCCAGAGATTCTCCAACTAATCCAAGGATGGTTCAAATGAAATTGAAGGAGAGAGAGACAAATGCTCCCTGGAAATTATAAATCTAGCTCCAAGGAAAATGTCGAGAGGACATGTGAGATATTGAACCCAAAGACCAAAACACTGGAGGGAGTGGAGAAGGTGTCATAGGACTTCAAAGGAGCCAGATACAAACCCTGCAAGGAAGTTACCCTGGTTCATCTGAGCCAAACCCTATCTCCCAGGCCTTCTCTGTTCACTAATTCATGTTAGTCTTAGATCCAGAAATCACTTCTCGTCCTCCAGAGGATGCTAACTTTGATACCTGTCAGCTCAGTCTCTGGCAGTTCTGCAGTCAGACAACCCTGGCCATGGCCACTCCTCCCCTGGACTCTGCTTGGCCACAGAACTCTTCTTTAATACTCATTCCCAATTTTCAGCTTCTAAATCTCTAGCCTTATTTTTCTGGATTATGGGTGATCACTCAATTCAGTCTCATAACATGGCCCAAGGAAGAGAACGCTTGGAAATTTTCGAGCAAAATTACTGGAGAAGCTCAGACATCTCTATACCAGCATGCATACAACAAAGAAAGTCAATTTGAAATTCTAAACCATTAGTAGCTGATGTCTGGTAGGGTACGACTCCATAATTTAGAGGTCTAAATTATGGAACATGCCCTTATTGAGAGTCATTTGCAATGTGTCCACGAAAAACACTTTGTTAGACATAGTGAGGAAAGAGATAAAAGAACAGTCCTCCACTCAGTCACAGAGGAACTTGAAGGCTATACAAAGAGTGTGGTCTTTTTTGTTTCTTTTAATTTTTTTTTAGCTATTGATGATCATATATATATATAGCTGAGAATCAAACCCAGTGCCTCTCTCATACAAGGCAAGCACCCTACCACTGAACCACAACCCAGGCCCAAGTGTGGTCTTCATTCAGTGAGAATTCTTCTGGCAGCTATATGTTGAATGGGGGCATTGATAGTGTCATCTGCTGCAAACAGGAAAAGAGAGAGAACCCGGAAGGGCCAATGGATATGGAACTAGGTCACTGATGACCACACACTTTCCTACCTAACTCTTTCATAAAGATAACTCCTTGGATCAAGAGCATTTAAGACCCACAACAGGGCTGTACAAAACAATATCTCTCCCCCTCCTAACCTTTCCAGAAAAAAAAATAAGAAGGGATTATAAAACCCTCTGCATCCCTATGCATTCTCTTTCTCCTCTGCTTAGGAAGTGGCCCTTAGCATGGCAAGGAATGGGCCAGACATACCTTCTCCTGGGAGGCTCCTTTGATTTTAGAGGTCTCAGTAGGACCCAGGAGACAAGAAATGACAGACTACCTACTTAGGGCTGCCTCTGGTTCCCAGTTTTATGGGCAAGGGGAAAGGGGCCTGCTCTGGTTTCTACATTGCCCAGCTTGGAACACTGAGCTTTCTTACCCAGAGATTGGAAACAGAAACCTTAATCAGGGATGGAGAGGAAGAATTCATCTGCAATGTGTCCTGTATCCTCTCTCAAGAATCTAAGAGTGACAGGAGGCAGCTGGACTAGGTGCAAGGCTAGCCAAGAGAAGGGAGCCCTCAAATGGTGACCTTCCAGTTTAAGGGCTATGGGAGGGAGAGGGCAAGAGAAGGAAACAGTATTTTCTGAGTTCCCACTAGGTGTTAGGAACACACCTAGTATACTACCCAGTGTCTAGCACATAGTAGGTGCTCAAGTCATGCTCACTGAATAAAGCCTCTTACTCTATCTCTAAATCTCAAAACAGCCCTGTGAACTAGACTGAAATTAGAAGATTAATTTTTTTTTGTACCAGGGATTAAACCCAGGGGTGCTTAACATCCCCAGCCCTATTTTATATTTTATTTAGAGACAGGGTCTCACTGAGTTGCTTAGCACCTCAGTTTTGCTGAGGCTGGCTTTGAATTCACCGATCCTCCTGTCTCAGCCTCCTGAGCTGCTGGGATTACAGGCGTGCGCCACTGCGCTTGGCTTCATTTATTTTTTATCTTATTCTATTTTTTTTTTTTTTAGAGATGGGGCCTCACTGTGTTGCCCCGGCTGGCTTCAAACTCCTGGCCCCAAGTGATCCTCCTGAGTACCTGGGACAACAGCCATGAACCATCAATCCCAAGCCCAGCAGGAGATTTATTCTTTCAAAGAGATGTCTTCAGAGTCACACAGTAAATGGAAGAAGTAGGATGCCTTCTTCTGAGCTCTGTTCTGTTTCTTCTGATTCTCAGCAGATTGCAGTTAAGCTGCGGGTCTGTGACATGGCAACAGATGAGGTAGGAGGAAAGGATGACCGTGTGGCTCTTTTAAGAACTGACTGGGAACTGCAGGGCTTTCTCAGAACATTTCCCCTTCAGCTATTGTCAGTATCCCCCTTGCTGGGATGTTGGCCAAAACCCCGATGCCTGAGCCCCACTCAGACCTGTGAAGGGGAAGGCTGAACTCTGCAGGTGAAAGGGCCCACCTGGGAGTCCACGAGAGCAGGCAAGGAGGAGGCCACCTAGGATAAGCATGGAGAGCTTATCCTATGCTGGCTGTAACCAGTAGACCAGCAATTTCAGTCTTGTTGGCAGGTGTGTTCACGTAAAGGCAATGGCTGCATCAGACCGTCGTAGTTTAATGCCTTTAGATAAATCTCCTGATTGTCCCTTGTTCCTTCTCCCTCACCACAATCTCCTGACTGTGTTGGCATCCCTGTGTGTTTGGCTGACCAGCCAACCTGAGCACTCCAGTCCTCTGTGTGCTTACATTTCCAACTATACATGGGCATTCTGGAAGAATCTATTCCTTGCAAATCTGCTGAGCATGGTACATCCTCAAGGTCTGTCCACCTCTGTCCACCCCTGACTTCTCCCTGAGGATGTCCTGCCTTCAGACTTTCACTACCTCTTGCAAGCCCCCAGGCCTTCCTGTTCTTCAGGAAGTCTGGGTCTAGTAATCAGATGTGGGGCTGTGACAATATTAGAATTACTTGAGACAGGTCTTTTTCAGAAGACCTAAAATTAGTTGTTGTTGTTGTTTTAATTTCTTAGTCACTTGTTTCTTAAAGTATACTTTAAAATTAAACAGGATCTGAGTGGTTAGTTATTTGTCTCAGCACTAGGTTCCCATGACCAAACTTGAAGGCTGGAAGTTTTTGATGATCACACTGGACTTGCTCCTTACACTGGCTGCGGTTCAGAGCTCTCATTTTGCCTCTGCTGGGATCTACCTGTTGCCTTTGAAAGGAGGGGGAGCATTTCATCTGTAGCATCTCCCATGAGCATTCCCAGCCTACCTAGTCACTAAGCATCCTCAAAGATTCTGGAAATTTCCTTCACCAGCATTTTCTGGGCTACCTTGGGAGCATAAAAAGAAGACAAATGAACGCCTGATAATATTCCTACCTTCCAAAGTCTTTAATTCCTTCCTCCACATTGTATATCCTCTTCATTTACATGGTCATCTCTTCAGACTAGGTTTCAGGCAACCAACCAAGAAAATACTGAGGAACACTTCCAACTATTCCATTCAGCATATTAAACCCAAATTTTTAGAAAATACATCCATGTACACAAATCCGGTCTGAATCTAAAATTTTGTTGTTTTCCTCCTTAGAAAATCATTCCCATGTGTGTTCTCCCACATTAAAGTAGATTATCAAATCTGGATGAGTGAGTGTGTGTGTGTGTGTGTGTGTGTGTGTGTGTTTGTGTACATCTTGTCCACACTGTGTGCTAACCTTTACCTCTTGGGTTATACTTGATAATTGACCCCTCTGGGCTTGCTGGTCCCTAATCCTAATTACTTTTTTGGAGATAATGAGGAGTGAAGGGAGAGAGCAGGAGGATAATTGGCTTCCTTTGCAAGGTAACAGGACTAGTTCCCTTAGGTGCATCTTCATGTGAAGCAATAATGGCCTCATTAGATATAGGAGGAGGTTCTGTTTTGGTTAGCAACAGAGGCCTAGTGACATTTGGGGGTACAGAGTTCCCTGAGTTCTTCAGATATTTGCATATATTCCCATCTCAGCTCTTGACACACCACACTTTCTCCATCAAGGCCCTAACTTTCACACAACAGACGGGGTGAGGCTGTGAATTCGGTTGACTTTGTCATTTGGCAACTCATGGGATTTGGCTTTCAGTTCTGTCTTATGTCTGTAAGAAATGAGATTCTTTTTATTATAATCTTAGAAGGAGCTTGTGTGTCAATCTGTGTTGTGATCTGAGAGTCTGAGGACCTGAACTTGTCATTCATATTTGTGTAAGCAGATTAGAGCCAATAAAAGATGTCTTCAATTTTCTTTCATTTTCCTAAAGTTTGCAAGAACAGATAAGTTGTTTTTAATAAGCAGTCATCCAGGGTAATATTTGTCTTTTCATTTTTTACCATTGTATGTCATGGGTATATTATCTCTATATACTAACAGATTCTTTACTGTTCTTGGTCCTAAGTAACCAGCCAGACAATCCCAAATTCCTTCTTCTCATCTATTACTCCAAGGTTATATTGTCTGCACCTGCCTCTCTATGCCCGTTTCTCTGTGCCAGTCAAGGTTCTTGGTCCAGGTAACATAAACCAACTCCAGCTAATTTGAGCAGAAAAAAACAATCTCCTGGATTGATGTAGGGTATCCCACAGAGTCAGTGGGACACGTGAAGCACCAAAATCAAACCCCAGCTAGGAACCAAGAATTGTTGGGCATCCAAAAACCACCAAGATCATGCCACCAGAACAAGGCCACCCTCACTGCCACTGCTACCACTGACCACTTGCTGCTTTCACTCTCGATCTCACTGACAGAGGATGCCCACTTTCACTCATCTGGACTCTTGGTTCCTCTAATACTGCCTCAGAAAAACTCCCATCTTCTGTGTCTTTGCATTACTTCCTCAATATTCAAAACCCTGTACAGAAGCATCTGATCCACAGCCTCGATCACGTGCTCACACCTGCTAGTGAACAAGCAAGAAAATATCTACACTTGGTGCTGAGCTGATTCCATGCATTTTTTAATTCCTCTGGATGGGAAGGGTGTTTAGATGCTAGGCAGTCTCACACTACTCCTCCCAGATAAAGTCTACTACGGTTGTAAGTAGGTTCAGGACAAACATTGCAAAAAGAAAATGAAAGCCTGAAATAAGCAAAGTAATTTATTACAATTATTTTAATAAATAAAAACCTCCATGTCTAGACAAATTTCTTTCTAAGATGTTAGGACAATTTTAGGGGAAAAAGATCATAAAGCAACCATCAATAAATTTAAAAATTCACAAGATACTAAAAAGCAATGGAAACTGGGTCAACCTTGTATGAAGGAAAATAGCATGGGTTCTGCTAATAACCAGCTGATGTTGAACATCGACAATGAACAGAATCACCTGGATAAATGGGTTTTCTTGTTGTGAAAGTAATTAAATGAACAGTATGACATCAGTAAAAATGTATTAAGAACAAATTATAGTACCTATCCTCACTTCCTTTTTTAAAAACATATTTTTAGTTATACATGAATATAATACCTTTATTTCATGTGGTGCTGAAGATCAAACCCAGCGCCTCACACGTGCTAGGCAAGGGCTCTACCACTGAGCCCCAGCCCCAGCCCCTCACTTCCTTTTTAATTCAACTTACAGTCTATTGGTAGGCAACACAGGAATGTTATAGTACTCTGTCTTTACAAAGTTTAAAATACCTTGAATTTCTTTTAAAATAAAAATAAAACATGATCATTATGGGAAAAGGTAGACAATAATTTCTGGTGAAGTGAACCCAAACTATTAGCTCTACTTTCTTCTCACTAGAAAAACACTACAATTATATTAAGGGAAGAAGAAAGATAAAAATCGACAGGGGCAAAGAGATTAGGTGAGGAGACAGCACCAACAATGACAACTTATGTTTAGAAGATGGAAAAATAAATGAATAAATGATAACTGGCAGAACAAAGAAAGCTGATAGCAAGTGACTGCCGAAGATGTCACCACAGGATGATTTGGGCAGCAGAGCCCCAGGAGAGCTCAGGAAGAAAAGGCACCAAGAACCTCAGAAACAAGAAGTACAGCTAAAAACAGGAGAACTGGGTACAAGCCCTGTCCATGTACACTTCTGATAATCATTTTTACTGAATTTTAATATGAACAGATAACCAAAGACGTTTGGGAGAAAGCCCTAGCGTGAAAGAGAGGAAAAATTGCAAAGGGCCGGGGTTGTGGCTCAGTGGTAGCGCACTCGTCTGGCATGTGTGAGGCACTGGGTCTGATCCTCAGCACCACATGAAGATAAGTAAATAAAGTAAAGGTAGTGTCCATCTACAACTAAAAACATATTTTTAAAAAATGCAAAGTAAAGAAACCGTAAGACTTGTAGGAAGTAGAGACAATGCAGATAACAGAAGAAAACTACTTAACAGCACTTTCCGTCCCCTGCTCCTTCCACTCTGGTCTCCATAGCTAGTTAGTTCCCACGTTCCATGGGATGAGTCATGTGTGCATTATAAGCTCTTTTTTTTATCCCTGTACATTTTTGTGTGGAGTTAATGACATGTATTTTGTTGATTCTTTAATTTTCTGTGTATCTATCACAAATGTAACTGTCCTCTAGCTGTTCAGACACCTTGGGAATTTGCTCAGTTTCTTCTTTTGGAGAAATCTCCCTGGACCTGCTGGCCTGGTCCCGCTGGGGCTGCTGTGTAAGCTGTCCTCTTGGGATCCCTCCTTCCTCTCCTGCTCTCTCCTGTGTTGGGTTCTTGTTTCTTAATTGCTGTGTCTTCCTTCCTTAGTTTATGTCCTACTTTTGATGGCTCACACTCTTCTGGAACATGTGTCCATCTGTTTTCTAACTCCCAGAAACATGTTCCTGCTTCTCCTGTTCTCTTTGTTCTTGTGGACCTATACCTAGAGAAAATTCTTCTTCTTTTCTTTAATGGTTTAAGGGTACTAGGAGACAGCAATGCAAAATACATGTGTTTCATTGACCTTCTTTATTTACAATCTAATTTCATTTCAGAACTCATCACTATGGCATTAGTGTATAGTTTAGGTTTGGAGTTGGGCCAATGTTGTAGGCTGGGAGATCCATGGAAGGCTGTTCAAATAATTCCAAAAAGAGACGATGATGGTCAAGGTGTGGGCGATGAGGTGGAGAGAGGATGGATTTTTCAGAGAATGGTGTACATTCTACTGCTCAGCACCTGAGGTTATTTTAGGTGCTTCATAGATCAATCCATAGATAGATAATCTCTATTTTTTTACTACTTGTGCATTTATATTTTGTGTTACAAATATATATGACTAGCATATCAAACTTGTGGTTTCCCAGAAGGTTTTTCAAAGTTGAAGCTAAAATAGCTACTTGAGTTTTTAAAAGAAAGTTAATTAAAAGTAGTAAGTAACTTTTGTCCTGGGGCAGTGTATTTAGAGAACTGTTGGTGGGGACCTGGCTGGACAGTTGCTGGCTTCACCCCATCAGTCCTCCCAGCAACAGCCAGAGCCTCTCCCCCACTTCCTGCCACCTGTCCAATCTTTCTTTGCACAGTGTTTGCACCGAGTCTCATCCTCCTTTGTCTTGCTCTTAAATTTCTCAGTCTCGCTATGTGTGAACAGCTTCCTCTCACCATCTCCTCAATCCTGGCTTTTGCAGTCTTGTGCTCGATACGAGATTTTGGAGTTCCTAATGGCATTTTATTTTTTATTTTTTAATTTTTAAAAACATACACCGTTGGGCTGGGATTGTGGCTCAGCAGTGGGGCGCTCACCTAGCAGGTGTGGGGCCCTGGGTTCGATCCTCAGCACCACATAAAAATAAATAAATAAAATAAAGGTATTGTGTCTAACTACAACTAAAAAATTAATATATATATATTTTTTAAATATGTCTTTGGCTGTGGAAGGAGCAGGGCACAGAAAGTGCTATTAAATACAGTTTTCTCCTGTTACTTTCTGTTACCTTGGTGGGTGTGGTGGCGCACTCCTGGGATCCCAGCGGCTCCCAAGGCTGAGACAGGAGGACTGCGAGTTCAAAGCCAGCCTAGCCAACTTAGCGAGGTGCTAAGCAACTCAGTGAGACCCTGTCTGTAAATAGAATATAAAATAGGGCTGGGATGTGGCTCAGTGGTCAGATGCCCCTGAGTTCAATCCCCAGTACCAAAAAAAACAAAAAACAACTTACGCCTAAACGCTTGAGCATGTGATGTGCCTCTTTGGAACCCAGCAGCAAAATTCTCAGAGAACTTCCCCCCTTTCTCCTCCCTCCACTCCTCCTATCTCTCAAGCCTGCAGGTCTCTTCAGCATCACAGCCAATTCTCATTCCAGGTCACATTACTTACGCCTCAGCGGAATTTGAGTGGGAGCTCAATCCAGTGGCAATAACCTAGGGAGGTCCAACTGCACATGGAATGACCAGAGTCTTGTGGCTCAGCGGGAGTCCGAGCCCCGCCACAGCTGCTGGGGCATCACAGCTCCATGTTCCAACAAGGATGTGAAAAGGGGCTGCTGCAGGAGGGTAACAAGCACAACCCCACAGGGTGCACAGAGAGGTAGGAAGCATGTGAGCACGTGTGTGAGTGTGCGCACACACACACACACAGTCACACTGGAAATGACCATAAACATAACCTTCTGTTTGGAGCCAGGATCTGTCTGGCATCTCTAGCATCTGGGGCCAGAGAAGTGTGTGGTGCTTGGGTCACACCCAGGATGATGGAAAGAAGACACACTGTGTCATTGTAGTGGCCTAGAGTAAGCATGTCTGAGTCCAGGAGATGTCCTGACCTTGTCTCTCTGTCCCTGAGACCCTTGGACAGCTCTGGGACTAATCAGTCCCCACCCACATGGTTTAAGGGACAGCCAGAGACTAAGCTCTGAGATATGGAATGATCATTTTGGAACACAGAGTGAAATGGAAACCCAGGATGCTGACGGCAGTCTCCCTGGTAACTGATGGCCCGGCTCTCCTGTCCTTCCCCATGGAGAGGTCGTTTTGCTGGGCTACCTCAGGACCACTTTGACCAAGAGCCAATGAGATTTTCTTATCTCACTTTGAGACCAAAGATTCAGGAGCTAGGAATTGAAAGGTTAAAGTGGAGGTTTCGAAGGGCAATAGAAACCACTGGAAAAGAGCACAAGAATGAATCCTGTTATAATCCCTTCTTAACATCTAAAAATACATCATATAAAATAATGTAACTGAATAAAGTTTAAAAAAGGAGGCCACAGAATGTGAAAATGATTCATGACAAATATAACTGAAAAGCTTACATTTCTAAAAAAAAAAATCTAGATTTAATAAAATTATATGTGGCT